GGAACCCAGTCGGGCTCTGAGTCTCAGCGTCTGTGCAAAGGTACACCTATGGGTGAGAAAAGAACCTGCTAGGAACCCCACTTATAGCTTTAATCAGACCATTCCACCTTCCTCGGGGGCTACGGCTCTCACTGCCGACATGCATTTGGGACTCGGGGACCACAGGTCCATTTGACAGCACAGGTGCCCAAATGAAGCAGCTCCCTGGAGGAGGCTGGGCAGCGCTCCGTGACCCAGGTTCCCAGCCTCACTCTGAACCGGCCTCTCTGGGGGTGGGCCTGGGAGTCTGGGCCTCAAGAAGCCAGGCGTTCAGGAACCACCGCACGTCACCCAGCCCTCGGCAGCTGCTCGAGGGAGCTCTGAGTAAATGTCACTACATCCACAAAAACAAAAAACGGAATGAAAAATAAAAAAGCTTCAAGTGATTTAAAATAATAATAGATATGTTTTTCACCCTAAGAAGTTCTCCGCCCACCTATTTCTTCCCTTCATGCCCCCACATTGTCCAAAGGACAGATCTGAAAACCCCACTCCCCTGTGCTAAGGGGGCCACCATGGCGGAAGCAGGGACCCTCACTGCCAGGCCACATCCCCTTCACCCTGCCCGTGAGCCACAAAGGTGTGAAGGCGAGTCACAGCCACGGCGCCAGGCCCCTCCTGTCACGGTGCCCTTTGAGGACCTCCGCCACGACCCACTTTCAAACTCTTCATTGTCTTGTCGCTGTCTGCATTGGGGACTGACAGAGTGCATGAGGAACAAACATACATAATTTTAAATTCTTATCCTCTCTCTCTCTCTCAAGGAAGCGGAAAGAAAGAGAACCCAGTGAGGAGTTAAGTGGGACACAAACAGTTCTTACAGCAAAATGATGAATTCAGTCTTAGCTGCGTCCTACTGAAACCTTAAGTGCAAAATATTCACAACCAAGCTTGCCTTCTTTCACTCCATCACTCACCACTACTCACCCAGTCACCAGGCTAGAAAGCTTAGCACCACTGCAAGTCTTTCTTGTCCTCATGTCTCATATCTGGCCCGTGACACAATCTACCTCGTCCTCGGCTGGAGTCCCACTGGTCAGTGAACCATCTTCCCCCCTCCGTGCCCCACACCGTCAGGCCCTCGCCCCTTCCCATTCGTCCAGCATAATACCCTCCCCTACCTGG